GACACCCTGTGTCTTTTAATTGGACCATTTAGTCCATTTACACTCAGAATAATTATTCATAGGTATGTACTTATTGCCAATTTGTTACTTGTTTTTGTCATTTCTGGAGATTTTCTTTGATCCTTTCTTGTCATTATCACTGTTCATCTCTCCTTTGCAAAGAGTCCCTTTAGTACTTCTTCCAGGGCTGTGTTATTGGTCATGATATCCTGTAGTTTTTGTTTGTCTGGGCAACTCTGTATCTTTCTTTCTATTCTGATAGCCTTGCTGTAGAGTATTCTAGGTGGCAGATTTTTCCATTCAGCTCTTTGAATATATGATGCCACTCCCTTCTGGCTTACCACATTTCTGTTGAGAAATCTGCACCTAGCCTGATGTACCTTCCCTTGTAAGTTAAGGACTTCTTTTGTCTTGCTGCTTTTAACATTTTTAACTAATCACTCTATTTTTCAAATGTAATTACAATATGTCTTGGTGTTGGCCGGCTTTTGTTGATTTTGATGGGAGTTCTCTGTGTCTCCTGGTTCTGAACGGTTGTTTTCGTCCCCAGATTGGGGAAGTTTTTAGCTATTATTTTCTCAAATAAACTTCCTGTCCCTTTTTCTCTCACTTCCTCTCCTGGGATTCCTATGATACAAGTGTTATTATGTTCAATGCTGTCACTGAATTCCCAAAGCCTTTTCTCATGATCCATGGTTCATCTTTCTCTCTTTTGCTCAGCTTCATTATATTCCATCATTCTATCTTTATACCACTCATTCATTCCTCTGCTTCTTCCATCCTTGTGGTCATTCCATCCAGCCGGTTTTGAATCTCAGTTATTGTCTTTTTTCATTTCTGTCAGGTTGGCTTTTAACTCTTTTATCTCTGGGGTAAGGGTCCCCTGAACTCTTCCACTCTTTCCCTAGCCCAGTGAGTATTCTTATGCTTGTTGCTTTAAATTCTCCCTCACTCATGTTACTTATATCTGTTTTGCTTCGATCTCTGGCCACAACCTTATCTTGTTTTTTTTTGCATTTGGGATGAATTCCTCCATGTGACATTTTGTCTAGGTCTCTGCCTTCATCTGTATGTGAGAATAGATAGCCAGTTATGATTCCTGCTTCTGAGAGCAATGGCTTTATGAAGAAGAGGTCATGTAGTATCCAGGGCCTGGCACTTCAGTGAGTGTCTCTGGTGTGTGTTGTGTGCACTCTGCTGGAGTGTTTTGGCTGATCTGTCCTTCAGGGTAGTTGTCTGCAGAGGCTCTCTCTGCCTGCAGTGGTCAGTGTGTGGTCCTTTGCCAGAATGTGGTGAGTTTTAAGTACGTGTGCTCTAGCCTGCTTGTTAGATGAGACCTGACACTACCTGAACTGGAACTGAAGCCCTGAAGAACTCTCTGGCTGGGAGATGTGGTGTGGGCAGGGGGTTCTCCTGGTCTTCTGGGAAGGGGCCGTCTGCACTGGGACTGGAGCAAGTTTGACTGAGAAGGATAGTCTCTCCAGTGTGCAGGGGTGTGGGGCTTGGTGTAAGCAGGTTAGGCAGCCAGTGTGGGTGCTGTGCTGCTTCCTGCAGGTGGCTCTGTATTTATGCTGTGGGTCAGGGGAGGGAAATAGCTCCATCCAGCTTCTTTGTCCCCAGAGCAGCATCTCCACGAATACTGGCTCTCAGGGACACACTAGGAGAAGAACAAACAAACCCTCCCACTGTGTGTCCCAGGTGCTTCTCAGATCACTGTTTCTACACTGTCTGCCTTCAGGTCCTTTGCTTGCCTTCTCTTCAGGAGCAGGGCAGTGCCCACCAAGTCTATTCCAGCCAAGCCCACTGACCTCTAGAACTTCAGCCTTTAAGCCCCCTTGGTTGCAAGAACTCACGAAATTCAGCCACTCTCATTTTCCAGGCCAGTGGCTTTGGGGATGCATTCTCTTTATGCGTTCCCCTGCATGCTCCTCTCTCTTACCCTTCTCTGTGACCATAGCTCCCTCCCTTCTGCAGCACCCAGGATTCTTTTCTCCCCTAATCCATGGATCCCCACTTCCTTACCTTTTTTGATGTGGCCTCTTTTCCCCCTTTAGTTGTGGAGTTTGTTCTGTCAGTCTTCAGGTCTCTTTCTGGGGTATATAGGATGATTTGATAATTATCTAGTTCTGATTGTGTGCGAGGTGAGCACAGCATTCCCCTACTCTGCTGTCATCTTGTCTTCTCCTACTCATGGCTTTTTTTATTTTTGAGCCACTCTCTGTGTCCCTGTGCCTGATTCACTGTCCCCATCTCTTCATTTTTGGCCTTGCCTGCCTATTTGTGTGTTTCTGTTTCTGGGTATCCCCAGGTTTATTTTTATTCTGTGTCTTTGCCTCCCTGCATCTCTGGATAGATTTCCTTGTCACTGTGTCTCTGCCCATTTGTTTATGTTCTGTGTGTCCGTTCCTATGTGTCTAGGTTTCTTTGTTCCTATCTTGATCCTTCCAGACATGATCCTGTGTATCTGTTCCCATTTCTAACTTGTATCCATATGGCTGTGTTTGTGGGTTCACATCCCCATGTCTACTTATTCTGGAATGTGTGTGTGTGTGTGTGTGTGTGTGTGTGTGTCTTTCTCTCACTCCTTTTCTAAATTCTTGTGTCCCTATATCACAGTGTCTCCATTGTACCTGGGCCTCCAGCTTGCCTGTCTTTATGCCTCTCTGTTACCTAACCTAACCCTAACCCTTATGTCTTGGCTGGTGTTTGTCACAGTTTGGGTGTCTGCATTCCCATGCTTTTGTCACTGGATCTCTGAGTTTATAAATTTGTGCTCCAGTTTGACTCTTGGTGTGCTCCTCTGCATGCGCCCATGTCTTTGGGTCTTTGTTACCAAGTCTTGGTATAAGTAACATCTCTGTTTCTATGACTTTGTAGATCTGTGGTCTTGTGTCTCTGTTTTCTTCTCCCATCTCCTATCCCATTTCTGTAAGTTACCATGTCAGCATGTCTCTATGCCTCTACTTCTTCAACCTTGGTGTATTGGGCTATGGTTTTGACCTATGTCTCCCTGGTTACTTCTGTGTCCCTGTGTCTCTATGTGTCACTGTGTGTCTCGTCTCCTCTGCTTCTGTGTCTGGTCTTTGTGAATATCTCTGTCTCTCTCTCTTGCTCACTTTCTCTCTTCTTAAGACTTTTTTTTTTTTTCAGTAGTTCAAGGAAAATTTTCTTTTCTTTTCTTTTTGAATTTTTATTTAAATTCTAGTCAGTTAACATGCAGTGCAATATTGGTTTCAGGAATAGATTTCAGTGATTCATCACTTACATACAACACCTAGTTTTTGTTTGTTTGTTTTGTTTTGTTTTTGAGATCATCTCTACATCCCAACATGGGGCTTGAACTCACAATCCCGAGATCAAGTGTCACGTGCTCTACTGAGTGAACCAGCCAGGAGCCCCAGAAAAACTACTTAAATGACTGAGGGAATTACAGATATTTGATGAAGTCTGGAGTGGTTGGAGGAGGGTGGGAAGGACATCTGAGCCAAGATCTAAGTTGTGATCTAGAATTTGAGTGGCAATGCAAAAGATGAGCATGGTAGACAGGGGCCAGGGCAGGTAAGGTCAGAGCGATTATCAAATAGAACAACTTGAGAGAGGTCCCTTAGTGGAGATGGGGTTGAGGCAGGGCCTCAACCATTAGGGAACGGAGAGGAGGCCAGGGTCAGGGGGTGGATAGAGTTCAGAGAGTGAGTGGGAAAAAGTGAGGTCAGAGGGGTATAGGATAGAGGGCAGATCACGTAGGGCCTTGTCAGGTATAAAAAGAACTTTGGGCTTCATTCTAGGTAAGATGGGAAACTCTTGAGGGGGGTTAAGTGGGAGCGGGACATGAAGTAATCTTTGTTTTTAAATAATCCTTTTGCTGTTGAGGAAGGATGGCAAAAAAAAAAAGAAGAAAGGAAGGAAGAAAGGAAGAAAAGAAAGGAAGGAAGGAAAGAAAGCAAGAAAACAAGAATGAAAGAAAGAAAGAAAGAAAGAAAGAAAGAAAGAAAGAAAGAAAAAAAGAAAGAAAGAAAGAATGAAAAGATTATCCCGAGAGAGGGAGCAGGGAGACCAGTGAGGAGACTGGAACCGTTTTCTAGGGTAGACATGATTGTAGTCTGCCCTAAGATAGTGACAGCTGGGGTGGTGAAAACTGGGTGCATTTGGCAAATATGTCAGAGGCAACATTGCCAAGAATTGAAGATGGATGGGATATTGGCGGGTGGTGAAGGGAAGGGGCATGTCAAGGATCTCATGCCCAAATTTGTATCCCTGTGACTTACTGCCACCACCAACTGGTTCTAATCCTGTCCTATAATGTCTCCCAAGAAATGTTGCTCTCCTTAGGAAGAGAGAACAATGGAGTGGTGGAGCACATTCAGTCTGCAACCAAATGATGTAGGCCCAAATCTCTTACTAGTTGTGTGACATGGAATAAGTTACTTCAGTTCCCTGCACTTCAGTTTCCCCATGAGTAAAATGCAGGTATCCACAGGTTGTGTGTGTGTGAGTGTGTGTATGTATTAAATGAGGGACTAAAAGAGTAATATATAGACAAGTACCTGCACATACGAAGGACTAAAAAATGTTAACCTTTGTTACTTCACAGTCTTTAGGAAATTTAAGGATAATTGTTATCTTTTCCAATTTGTGTACCCCTCTCCTTAAGCAGGGCTGTATATAGAGCACAAAAGAACTAATCAGACCTGCCTTACCCAGTGATGCCTCCACTTAGAACCCTGTATCCCTACCCTGTCTGGGAAACATGAGCAATTCTCTTGTCCAACAAAGCAAATGTCAAAACCACAGCTTGACCAGTTTCTTTCTGTTTCGCTTTCCCAGTCTTAATATCCCTCCTCTCTCAGGGCCTCTAATTCTGTGCTTAGGTTCTAAGGCCCAGAGAGGTTAAGTAGCTGATTCAAAGTCTCAAAGCAAGCAAACAGGCAACTGTCATCACTAGAATCTGCAGAAGCTTTGTACATTCCTAGTTCCCGGAGCTCTCCATTCTTACCCCCTCCTCATGGCTTGACCTCTTGCCCGTGGCACTCACCACCTTCATCAGGAGTGAGGAAGGTATAGAAAGCTGGTGTGTTCAAGGACTCCATGATCATGGACTCCACCATTGACTTAGACAGCAGCTCTAGCTCCTCAGGGAGATGGAGCAGGCTGGCCACCTCAGGGAGGATGCTAGAAGGCAGCAAGACTGGCACATTTGGGGGCTGCCTTCTGGCATAGGCCTGGAGCTGCTGGAGAGGCCCATTGTTGGGACTTCTGACACAGGTAGTCCCAGAATTTGCCTGGTGTTTTGGGGCCCCAGCAGCAGATCCTGCTGAAGCCAGAGCTTTCTCAGGGCAGCAGAAAGGGCAAGGTGGAGTCAAAGGGAATTGGGAGGGGTACTCCAAAGACAGAGGTGGTCATGGTCTTGCTGGGACTTGCAGGACTTGAGGTTGTGCTTGTGAATGTGTTTGGATCCTGAGGAGGTAGGGGCATTGGTCTGGCAGGTCTGGGGTTAATGGGGTTTTGGGTTTATTGGGGATTGGGGTCCAAGGTTTAGAAAATGATAAGCTTGGGTAATTTTGGGGAGTTGGGGTATTAGAGTTAAGAGGTGTTGGGACTGGGGTGCCTGGGTGGCTCAGTGGGTTAAAGTCTCTGCCTTCGGCTCAGGTCATGAACTCAGGGTCCTGGGATCGAGCCCTGCATCGGGCTCTCTGCTCAGCGGGGAGCCTGCTTCCTCCATCTCTCTCTGCCTGACTCTCTGCCTACTTGTGATCTCTGTCTGTCAAATAAATAAATGGTATCTTTAAAAAAAAAAAAGAGGTGTTAGGATTTTAGGAATGTTAAGTTAAGAGGATGCTGGGTTTAGAGTGTGACAGATTGGGGTCTTGTGAGCAGGAACTTTGGTCTAGTTTTGTTATAGGTGTTTGAAGATCTGAAGCATGGAGACTCCAGGATTGGCCTGTGGCAAGCTTTTGGGTGACTGTGATGTGAGTACCCCAAGTTGGGAATGTGATAGAGCATCCAGTTTGGGTTGTGATGGAACACCAGGTTTGGAGGACAGTGGAATATCATGTTTCACAATGCCAGCTTTGGGCTGGGATGGGGTGCTAGGATTCAGAAGTGGGACTTATGTCTTGGCAGTCATGGGTAATAGGGTACCAGGATTCTGGTGTGATGGCACGCTGGGCTTCAGAAGCAATAGGGCACCAGAGTTTGAGGGCCCAAAGGCAGCAGTTTTTGTTCTGAGAGTTGGCTGAACCAAAGTGCCAGAATCCTGTTGTGTAGGATTTGGGGATTTGGCTTGTGCTGGGGTGGATAGGGTACTTAGTGTCCTGACCCAGTGGCTCCAACTCCTTGGAACTGGACATAATTTCTGTAGAAGCAGGAGCCGTTGAGGATAAGTAGGACCTTGGTTTCACAAGCCCTAATTTGGGAGAGACCTTGGGTAACAACGCTGACTGGGCTGTGCCTGTCGCGAGGCCACGTCTGCTGGCGGATGAAGGCATAATGGTGCCTAGCACAGCTGCAGTGGAAATCTGTGATCTGACCTTCCCACTTGCCTCCTTGGGCTGCACCATGACAACATTGTATTCAAGGGACAGGTTGAGGACTTTGGTGGCCAGCAGGCGGCGAGTGGTAGTGTCACAGGCTTGGAAGCATCCCTCAGCAACTCTCCACTGGTGGTGTAGGCCCAGAGGCAGCAGGTGAAGTGGGCTACGTTGTAGGCCCACTCCCCTGGGACACCAGAGTTCTTCTGGCTCTGCTGGTGGCTGCCTCACTGTGACAGGCCACAAGAAGCTGACTCTTGGGACCACAGGCTGCCAGGTGGATGCCAAGTTCCTGCTTTCCTACCTGCCTGCCTGTGCCTGTCCTGCCGCCACCTGTTCTGAGCCACCAAAATAATGGGGAAAAGGTCCAAGGGGAGGCCCCAACCAAGCCTCCCAGAGGAGGGGAGGCTCTCCCTTCAAGAATGCACATCTGCCAGCAGAGGAATGGAGATCTCCTCATAGAGGCCCTTCAGCTGTGGGGCTGCATCAGTGCCCTCATACATGCACCAGGCTTCTCCCTGGTTCTCCAGGGGCAGGTGACACAGCAATGGGAAGTCAGCCTCATCCCTGAAGGCCAAACTGAAAAGGGACACCCTGTTGCCCAGTGCCTGACGGATGTTGGAGAGGATCACCCTAGGGGTCATCACACTGGCTGTGGGCTCCCCATCTGTCAGGAAGATGATGAGACGGATCCTCCCCACATTGCAGCCCCGACCAGTCTCCGGAATGCTGTGGTTTAGCAATGCTATGCTGTAGCAGAGCTGCACTGATGTTGGTCCCTAATTGGGAAGCAGACCGTGAGACCGTCTTTTCTAGTTATTTCTATCCCCATTGCAGACACCTTAGACACCTCACCAACCTCTCAGGCTCAGTCATTTCTCATCTTTGCTCAGACTGTTTCTGCTGCTTATCCTTCCCAACACCCCTGCCCCCACTCGGGTTCCCTGAGATCTGACAGTGGGGCCCACATGTCCTTGGCTTTTATCACTCCCTGTCTCAGACTACGATTTGCCTGTTTCCTGGGGGGATATCTAATTCTCTAGTCAGACGGGCATCTCCCCAATGATAGCAACCCCACCTCCATGCTATAGGGGAAGGAAGGGCTGAGTTTACCAGAGGTGGTGGGTGGGGGAGACTTCAGTACTTCTCTGAGAGATGATTGATCAAAAGCCAGAATCAGGGCAACAGCTTGACCAAGTGCTTGGAAATACATACATAGATTATTGATTTTTAAAAGTTTTGGCAAATTTTTCTGAGTACGTGCTTTAAAGAAACTCAGGGCCAAAGAAGAATGTGCCCTAAAATACAGAGTGCTATGTTCTTTCAACTAGGAAAGGGGACGCAGAAGGATGAAGGGACATATTTTTATAAAATATAATAGTGATGTTTCAGGTATTGTGAGAGGTGAGGTGGATGGGGGAACAAAGGGAGCATTTCAAAAATTCCCCATATCTGGGGCACCCGGCTGGCTCAGGCAGTAGAGCACGTGACTCTTAATCTCAGGGTCATGAGTTCGGGGCCCATGTTGGGCATGGGGCCTACCTAAAATAGAAAAATAAATAAATAAATAAATAAATAAAAAGGAATTCCCCACATTACCACAGCCCATCCATTTGAGTGGGTAGGTCTACACTTACAACCACCAGCTTCCATGTGACCCAGGTAGTCCTTGGTGCTGTGGATGTTCTGGATGCTAGCTAGATGCTAACCGAGTCAGAAAAGGTGATGATTTAGAAGTGGTCGTTGACGCCACCCAGGATCACGTTCATGGCCTTTTCAGTCTGTGGGATATGGGTGAAATGAAGGAGATGGACCAAGGCTGGAGGTCTTGCTCAAGACTGAAAAGTTATTTCTATACAAGGTACTAAGGCCTAAGTGTGGTATGGTTTTAAGACTCTCTGACTCCGGCACTCTGTAAGTCTAGAATTCTCGGGGTCAAAATGCTACAGGCCCTATGGATCTAAGCCTAGAACTGCACTGTCCAATGGAAACTGCTAGCCACATGTAGCTACTTAAATGTAAGCTAGTTAAAATGAAAGGAAAAATGATAAATAAACTGTTCCTTTACTTGCAGTAGCCACATTTCAAGTGCCCAATAACCACACGAGGGTTATTGCAGAGCAGTGGCTACTACTGTATGGGACACCTCAGAACTTTAGAACATTTCCATCATCAAGATAGTTCTATTTGACAGTGGTGGTCTAGAAGGTTCAAGCTCCATGCTTTCAGGGTGCTAGGACCCTGTGTGTTCCATGGTTCCCGGACCCGACGACCCAGGATTCAGTGATTCCAGGACCATAAAGCTTAAGAGCTTTATGATTCTGGGTCTTTATAACTTCCTTTAAGTGACTTTGCAAGCTCTGGTTCTGCCCTATGTAATCTGTTCTTTTACCTCACCTTCCACATTTTACCACCTTCCACACCATCAGGCGGATCCTCTCCTCAGTCCCCAGATAACCCAGATCCCATTCCCCGCCCCCCCCCCCAAACTTTGCTCTTATTGTGCCCTTTAGGTAACAGACCCTTCCACTTCCCCTTTACTTATTCATATCTTCACTGCTCCTTCTCTGGGCAGCCCTTCCTTGATTGCTTACTCTGACCCATGCCCCTTGTACCCAGATAGTCCCTGTCCCAGATGGATTGCTGGCTGTCATATGTAGAATGTTTTCATTTTCCACACTGATATTGAGCCCTCTGAGAACAGGGCTTTGAATACTTCTTCCTTTTGGCTCCCTTCTCCATAACAATACCTAGCATAGGGCTAGGCACATAAGAGTTTCAGGGAACAGGGAATGTAAGTCCTAGTATTAGGTACCTCTTACAGGGCACTTGTTATGTTTCAGGCACTGTGCCAAATACTTAGATGCATCAGCTCATTTAATCGTCATAGCAACACAATGGAAAAGGTACTGATATTATACCCATTTTATCAGTGACAACACCGAGGCTCAGAGAGGCAGAGTGACTTGCTCAAGGTCACACAACTAGTCACTGATGAACCACGGATGCAAATCCATATTTTGGAGGTGTTAAACATTATGCCTTCCAAGTTTTATATTGTTATAGATTTCAGAGACCACAGGGAATACCACTTGTGACCCACCTTTCTCTACACCTTAAACTGATAGAAGATGCCTTGAATGCTTTCAAGGGGATCAGAGTCTTTCCTGCCACAGGATGAGCTCAGGGTAGAGGTCACACGTTCTGGAATAGGGAGCTGAGGTCTTCCTCAAGACTGAAAGGTTATTTCTATACAAGGTACTAAGGCCTAAATGTTGCATGGTTTTAAGGATTTAGCCACTCATTCTTGCTTTCATTCAGAGGACTGAAACAGAGAGCATGATGGCCCTTCCTGAGAATCTCCCGCTAACCAGAGACAAATCGTGTTTTTAGAAGTATGTCATTTAATCTATTGAGAGTTTCCAGCTATCTGTCTGTTACTGATTTCTAGTTTATTCCACATGGTCTGAGAGCATATATTTATTTTATGATTTATACTCTTTTACTTTGTTAAGGCGTGTTTTATGGCCCATGATGTAGTCTATTTTGGCAAACATTCCATGTGAGCTTGAGATGGATGTGTATTGTGCTGCTGTTGGATGAAGTACTGTGTAGATGTCAATTATTCAACTGATTAATGGTGCTGTTCTGTTAACTATGTCCTCACTGATTTTGTGCCTGCTGGATCTGTCCATTTGTGATAGAAGGGAGCTGAAGTCTCTAACTATAACAGTGGTTTTATCTATTTCTCCTTGCAGTTCTAACAGTTTTTGCCACATGTCTTTTGACGGTCTATTGTTAGGTGCATTACACATTAAGGATTGCTGTGTCTTCTTGGAGAGCCAGTATATAATTATAGTTATATAAGATTTTTTTTTTCAGTCTGAAAGCAGTCATGGTTTATTAACTGGCCAAACTGCCGAAATAGTGATGGCAGATACCTTAGTTTATCCTTCTAATAAGCTGCTCATCTGGTCTTCCCTATTGCCAGCAACTGCGCCTCCCACAAAATGGGTGATCCTTTTCTTCATTCCACTTCATGGAGAAGATGATTTGCAGGGCCCCTGGAAGTTTTTTGGTTCTTTGAAATACTTTACAGTAATACTGTAGGTCTTGTGAATCAGATCCTCCATGCAAACAATGCCATATTTACCAAGAGATCAACCAGTGTGTTATCTGTCAGGGAAATTTGCTTTGTTTCTTTAAACAACACATCTCCTTATCCCTGATGACTTACTTGCTCTAAAGTCTGTTTCATCTGAAATTAATATAGCTGCTCCAGATTTTTTGTGATTAGTGTTCAGAATGGGATATCTTTTTTTTCCCATACCATGGCTTTTAGTCTATCTGTGTCTTTTTATTTAAAATGGGTTTCTTGTAGACAACACAGAGCTGGGTCTGGTTTTGTTTGTTTGTTTTTGTTAGGTTCTGTTTTGTTTTAATCAACACTGATAGTCTCTGTCATTTAATACGTGTATTTAGACCATTCATGGTTAAAGTGATTACTGTTATGGATAGATTAATATTTGCCATGTTTTTAACTGTTTTCTATTTGCTACCCTTGATTTTCTTTTCTTTTCCTTCCTCCCTCCCTCTCTCCTTTCCTTCCTTCCTTCTTTCTTTCCTTCCATCTCTCCTTCCTTCCTTCCTTCCTTCCTTTTCTCGGTCTTATACTATTTTTCTGTCTTCTGTGGTTTTAATTGAGTGTTTGATATGATCCCATTTTCTCTTGTCTTTTAGCAGAGCCATTATGGTTTTAATTTTTTTTTCTTATTGATTGCCCTAGAGTGTGCAATGTGCTTTTACAACTAATCCAAGTCCACTTTCAGAAAACACTATACAGCTTCAAGTACCTCATGAAAGAATATTTCCAATTCATCCCTCCTGCCTCTTATATAACATTGCTGTCATTAATTTCACTTACCTATAAGCTGTATTCACTGAACACATTATTTCTCTTAGTATTTTCAGCAAACTCTTTTTGTTAGATCTATTAATTAAAAAAGAAAAGAGTTTCTTTTATCATAATTCTTTCCTTTCCTAACACTCTTCCTTTCTTTATGGAGACCCAAGTATATGAACTACACCATTTCCCTTCTCTCTGAAGAACTTCTTTAAACATTTACCTGTGCAAGGCAGGTCTACTGGCAAAAAGTCCCTCGATTTTTGTTTGGCTAATAAAGTTTTCCTATCTCATTCACGCTGGAAAGACAATTTTGCTGTATACAGAATTCTAGGCTGGTAGTTTTTGGGGTTCCTTGTTTTGTTTTGTTTCTCTTCAACATGGTAAATATTTCATTTCACTCTCTTTTTGTTGCATGATTTCTCAAGAGAAGTCCAATGTAATTCCGATTCTTGTTCCTGTATAAGTAAGGTGATATTTTCCATGGGCTTTTTTTTTTTTTTTAAGAAATTTCTCTTTGATTTTCTGCAGTTGGAATAGGATATGCCTATGTGTAGATTGTGTAGATTTTTTTTTTTTTTTTTATCCTGCATGGTGCTCTCTGAGCTTCCTAGACCTGTGGTTTAGTGGCTGTCATTTATTTTGGAGAATCTGTACCCAGTAGTCCTTCAAATATTTCTTGTGTTATTTTCTTTCTTCTCCTCCTGGTGTTCCCATTACACATATGTGATACTTTTGTAATTGTATACAGTCCTTGGATATTCCCTTTTTTCTTATTTTGTTTTACATTCTTTCTTCTCTTTGCTTTTCAGTTTGGGAAGTTTCTATTAACATATCCTCAGGCTTATTGACTTGTTCTTTGCCCATGTTCGGTCTCCTAATGAGCCCACCAAAGGCATTTTTCATTCCTGTTATGGTGTTTTATATTTCTAGCATTTACTTTTTCTTTTCTTAGGGTATCCATCTCTGCTTGCATTACCTGTCTATTCTTGCATGTTATCCACTTTTCCCATTAGAGCCCTTAGCATATTAGTCATGGCCACTTTAAATTCCAGGTCTAATAATTTCTCTGCCATATCAGTCTGGTTCTGATGGTTGATTCACCTTTTTGGACTGTGTTTTGTTTTGTTTTGGTTTGTTTTCATTTTAGCATAGCTTGTAAGTTTTTGGTGAAAGCAGACATGATGTATCACGTAAAAGGATCCTAGGTAAATAGGCCTTTGGTGGGAGATTCTATGTTTATCCGGCCAGGAATTAGGTTGTGCTTGCTAGGTGCTAACAGTTGCATGTGTCGGAGGCAAAAATTTCTTTTAGGATCCTTGTTTTTGACTCCTCTATTGTCTTGGGTTGCTTGGGATAGTCTTTCTTAAAGACTCTAAGCTTCCAGTTCCATCAGCTATAATCTCCTGTTGTTATGCAGGAGTGCAGTGCATGTGGTGATATTGTGTCGGGGAAGGAGAGGCATTTCATAGTTCCATGCTCAGGTCTCAGTCTAAAAGACTGAGGGCAACTATGTCCCTGAAATATGACCTCCACAAGTGCTCCTCAGCTTTTTCCTGACCTTAGTTGGGATGGGTAGGCTAGAAAAGTTTGGAGTTGGGTATAGCCTTTCCCCTACACTTGAGACTACAAAAGACAGCTCTCAGTATTTCCCTTCCCCCAGTTTGGTTACACTCTGGTATAATACAAGTTAGTAGACTTGGGCCCCATGGGCTCTATGGTTCAGAACTTTAAGGCCCATAGACTGTACTGCTCCAGGTCGCTTGGACTTTATCATTCTAGAGTCCCAGAGTATTGTAGTTCAAAATACTGCTTCCGGAACTTTATGGATTCAGGCTCTAAACTCAAAATCTCTTTGGCCTATGGCCCCACTATTCCATGTTGAGGGTGCTCTGGTAGAAGGGCAACAATATTTTAAATCTAGATGGATCCAGAACTTTGTAGTCTCTAAACACTACAATGCCAGTGCACTATATTTTTCTGGCTTTGAGGTAAAATAAACAAAATGGCCTCTGGAAGGTTCAGAGTCTAAATTGACTATGGTTTCCTTTTTATGTGTTGACTCGGGTTTTATGACACCAGAGTTCTCCAGCTTGAAGGTTCTATGACTCTGGGCCCCTTGGTGATCTGAAGTTTTGTGGTTAAGGGTCTTGATGGTTACAGCCCCCTTGTCCAGTGTTTCAATGTTGCCAGTATTCTGTGGTTTCAGGTCTACGTGGCTCCTGAATGTGCAAGGTATCAGGACCCCAAGGTAGGCCTTGGCCTCTAAGATCCCAGGGTCATGGGAGGTAGAGTCTCTGGTCCCAGGGGACCACTGTTCCTGCACTCTCTGCTTTCTGAGCCTTCTAAAACAAGAGCTATAACAGGTCTGGTGGGTCCTTGTTACCTGCTTCATCGTGGTGCCAAACATAGAGCCAGCCGCTTATATCAACAATGAATACCATGCTTTTCTTGACAGGTGGGAGGCTTCTGGGGGCAAAATAATGAATAAAATCGCCCTCGTAAATCTGGACAAAAAGAAGTGAAACCAACAAGAAGTAGGAAAGGCAGTCTAAATCAGGTCCCCTCTTATTCTCCGGCATAACACCCTGTGCCTTTTTCCTTCCTAGGCCTTCTCTCTGCTTCTAGTTAAACAGGCATCTGTGCGATTGTTTGTTTCAATGTCCACCTCCTCTACCAGAGCTGTGTCTCTGCTGTTCAGGCTGTCAGCCCAGGGCCTGCCCCAGAACTGTGGAGTGAATGAGGCTGGCTTGTGGCCCAAGGCTCCAAGGATCAGGATCTCTGTAATATGTGAGTTCCTGTTCAAGAGAGCTGACTTGCACAGCCCTGAGGGCCCCTGGGGACATTTTGCCTGGGCTCCAGGAACCGTAAGTATTGTTTTAACCTCCCTCTATAGAGTGAGCCAGGGGCCCAGCTCCATTGCTGCCAGGGGCTGGGAGTTTGCAGGGCCTCCCTCTCTTCCTTAAGCCTCCTTTCTGCTGTTGCTGGGCAGAGTAGGCAGGGAAGGAGGGAGCAGAGGCTGAGTGAGCTGTTTGTTCAGAGGGGATTGGTTAGACCAGGTGCAGATGCCTTGGGCTGCCAAGGATGTGATTGGCTGCTGACCCCCTTCCCCCACTCCATCTCCCCTCTGCAGAGCTTGGGGACTGGAACAGCTGAGGGAAGTGGAGAGGGGGGGATGCTGGGAGGGCCCCCAGGGTCAGTGTCAGCTCAGCCTAGGGAAGTATGGGCTTGCTGAGGGTCTGTGCTGCTCAGTAACCTGAAGTAAGCTCTGCCTTGGAACAGCCAGCTTTACTCTCCTCTCTGCCATTCAGGCACTCTCTGATCACAAGCCTGGACACACTATCTCCTCCTCTCTCAGGGGGAAAGGAGGATAAGGGAGGACATCTTGCTCTTTCCCTCCACTCCAGCCTTTGAGATAATTCACACGTGCATGTGGGGGCTCTGTCTCCACTTTCTCCTGACGCTCTACAGCAGTTCTCAAAGGCCTGGGTCATCTACCATGCCACTGCCCAGGCCCAAGGCAGAGCCCAGCTGTCCTGAGATTCTTCCCATAACCTGGGCAGGTGAGAGTTTCTGGGAAAATCACATTCCTATCTCCTCATGGTCCCAGGCTCCCTGGTGGCCTCACATCTCACATCCTATAAGCCAGAGGCATGACCCAGGTCACCACCCTCTCACGCTCCCCTCAGCTGCTATGCCACCTCACTTGGAGGAAATGTTTCCTTTCCTTCCTAATGAAGAAAATTAATGGCACCAGGCCATGTCCCTTGGACTGCCCACCCCACCCTTGCACAGGGTTCACACACCCATGCACCTCTTCCTCTATTAAGGACAAAACAGTCTTGTCCTGGACCCCATGCCCTCCCAGGCTCCAGCACCTCCTCCGCCAGTCAGACCCTTCTCTCCAACCTGCCCCACACAAGCTCCTGCGTCTTCTTTAAGATATGGAAAGTGTTGTGTCTTTTCCATCCACTAAGACAACCCCACTGATCCCAGCCCCATCAAAACTTCAAACCATCTTCTCTCCTCCCTGCAGCATACCAAGGTAATGGAATCATCTCCTACAGTGGTCTGCTCACATCCAGTTTATTCCTCTCCACACCACATACTGGCTTCAGCCCCCACCACACACTGACTCCTCTCTCACTAAAGGCAACAGTACCTGGTTGGTTTCCAAACTCAATAGGTGTATTTCGATTCTTTTTTTAAATTTATTTTTAATTTTTTATAAACATATAATGTATTATTAGCCCCAGGGGTACAGGTCTGTGAATCGCCAGGTTTACACACTTCACAGCACTCACCATATCACATACCCTCCCCAATGTCCATAACCCCACCACCCTCTCCCTACCCCCCCTCCCCACCACCACCCTCAGTTTGTTTTGTGACATTAAGAGTCTCTTATGGTTTGTCTCCCTCCCGATCCCATCTTGTTTCATTTATTCTTTTCCTACCCCCCAAACCCCCCACGTGGCATCTCCACTTCCTCATATCAGGGAGATCATATGATAGTTGTCTTTCTCCGATTGACTTATTTCACTAAGCATAGTACCCTCAAGTTCCATCCACGTCTTCGCAAATGGCAAGATTTCATTTCCTTTGATGGCTGCATAGTATTCCATTGTATATATATACCATATTTTCTTTATCCATTCATCTGTTGATGGACATCTAGGTTCTTTCCATAGTTTGGCTATTGTGGACATGGCTGCTATAAACATTCAGGTGCACGTGCGTGTATTTTGATTCTTATCAGACTGCATCTCCCTGATGTATTTCACAACTGGCGATCACTTTTGGTCCCAAGAAGAATCTTCTGTCCTGGGAAACTCAGATGGCAAACTCTCCTTACTCTCCGACCAGTTCTCTGGCCCGTTTGATTCAGTCTCTTACATGCGTTCCATTTTCTCCCCCTGTCCCTTAAGCAGTGCTTTCCGATTTTTTTTTTCAGTCATGGCAAGCAAAGAGAATGATTATGCTTGTGTAACACAATGGAGGGAAGTGGTGGGGATATAGAGCTCTGAGCAGACTGCTGGCAGCTGGTGGAGCTAGACACCCAGAGAGCTGAGGAGATCAGTGGCTGCTGGACCTTAGCAGTTGCCATTGTGGATCTGCTCTTCTGGCTCAACACATTCTCCCTGGGTCACTTCCCTAGCTCTTGTACTGTCAGTCCCTGAATCTCCATGATGACCCAGTACCACATCTTTCTCCTGTCCAATGCGCTCCACTCTTCCCCCTCCACAACTGCCTACCTGATCACTGTTGGACCCATTCCCTTGGATGTCTGAAGATGCTTCCAACGTATTTTGCCCAAACAATAAATTGCTATATTTCCCCCATCCTGCCTTTGTGTGCCTTTGTCCTTTACAGACCCTATCATCCACATGGTCACTCCAGATACAAACCTGAGCATCACCCTTAAATCTTCCTGTGCTCCTCACTCCCCACATCCAACCAGCCACCAATTCCTGCTGGTTTAATCTGCTGGATATATCCCAGGCCCACCCCTCCTCTCCATTCCAGACTAACAAAACCCAAATTCAAGACTTCTTTCTCTTTGGTTCTGCTCCTTTTTTTGCGGCCCCTCCGATCCATGCATCTTTGCAGCAGCTGCTCAGTCAGGTCTTCCTAAACTCAAACCCCATAATGTCATTCCCTTTCATGGCTCCCTTGTCACCTTCAAGACTTAGTCCATGTTCCTCATCACACCCCTGCAGCACTCGTAGCCTTCGGTCTCACCTCTTACCATTTCTTGTGTCTCAAATCAATGCTCCAGAAACTCCAGCCTACGTGAGGCTCCCTAAACACTCCTGGATATTTCCAGCCTTCATTCTCTGTATCGTGCAGGCCTCGGTTGGCTAGAATGTCTTTCCCATTTCACAGCCTCTCTCCCAACTTGGCATCCATTTTTGCATTCTTTCACCCAGCTTAGTCTTCACTTCTGCCAGGGAGCCCCCCCGACCACCTTCTTCCCTCATGATGACATCCGTCCCAGCTTGTGTTGTCATTGACAGAGAACTTTTCATCGTGTGTGTGCATGCATGCGTGTGTGTGTGTGTGTGTGTGTGTGTGTGTTTCACCCAGAGACAGTGAATAGGATCTCCGTGTGATTCACTTCAGGGTTCCCAGCATCAGCCAGCAGCGGGCATGAAGCAGATTAGGTACCCAGGGAGTGCCAACTGAGTGAATGAAGGGGTGAATGTGCAGGACTTTGAAAGATGGGCATACTCAAGCAGGAATGGGAGGCCAGTGGAGGGGTTCTTGGTAGGGGATGCAGGAGCCAGGGCACGCAGTAAATGGGAGTATCTGTCTTGCTATTTAGTGCCTCATTCCATCTGTTCTGATTATGTTTCTGCTCCAGACAATGGTCAAAAAGGTAAAGAATGAGGACGCAGACAAATACCTCAATTAACACACCCACAGGATAGAACACCAGGTTAAGGCCCCTGCTGCCACCTACTGGCAGGGTACCCTCAGCTCTTATTTGGAGAGGGAGACTTATTTTATTCCCCCTCCACAACAGGCTATACCATACCTCTGTGCCTCTGCACACACTGTCCCCTACATCTCTCTGCATCTGCTATTCCCTTCACCCCAACGACCCCGGCAGAGGTAGAGTCTCTTCATATTTTTCCCAGGCTAATTTAAAGGCCAACTCCTTTAGGAAGGCTTTCCTGGAACCCTCCTCAGTGGTATCTGTGCATAACTCATTGCAGATTTATGTGCAGCATTTAGAACTGTTTATGACTGCCACAGGTCTATGTATCTGGCTGCTTAGGGGCTAGGATGTTCCAAAGGAAGACTAGGGGTTGTGTCCACCTCATTTCTGAGTTCCCAGAATCAATGAGGACAGGACTGGGCTAGAGTAGCTTAGCTCTGCTTGGTGGTGATGTATCCACATATGAATGAATGAGTAAATATGTGCAGGGGGAGAGGTGTTACCAAAGCACTATATTAGCCCAGAGCAGACGGGAAAATTGTCAATGGGCTGGGCTCATCAGAGAGGTAGCATTTGAGCAGGGTCTTCAAGGACGAGGACCAATGGAAAAAGGAGGGAAAAGACATTCCCAGGGCAAGCAGAGAGTATGAGCAAATACTCAGGCACAGATGAGTGGCAAATTCAGGTGTTTTTAAAGAAAGGCATGTGGTGTGTGGTGTGGTGTGGTGTGGTGTGGTGTGGTGTGGTGTGGTGTGGTGTGGGGCAGCTGGAGGGTGGTTCGTGTGCTGCAGGTGGTGAGAGATATGGCAAGAAAGGAAGGCTGGGACCAGACATCTCAGGCAGTCATGCAATCATTGTTGTCAAGCCAAGGGTCTTGGATCCATGCTGGAACCCTCTGGCAGAGCATGAGATCTCTGCATATTCTTCATGAATGTGTGAGCTCAGAATTAAGGGCTCCCTGTTTAGGCAGATGGCTCAGGTGAGGCAAAAAGAATTTTTAAAACTTAGAGACGGCACGAAAGTGTGAGGGAACATGAGAGTATCAGAGCTGCAGAAAGTGTGAGAGCCCCATGAGTGTGAGAGACCAATTACTGGCCAATGGTTCACTTTCCAAAAGGACTGGTTAAGAGTGGGCTATAACTTACTTCAACCAAGAGTGGATTCATTTCAGGGTGCCTGGGTGCTTCAGTGGGTTAAGCATCTGCCTTCGGCTCGGGTCATGATGCCAGGGTCCTGGGATGGAGCCCTGTGTTGGGCTTCCTGCTCAGTGGGGAGTCTGCTTCTCCCTCTGCTTCTCCTTCTGCCTCTCCCTCTGCCCCCCACCCCGCCCCTCCTCCTGTGCTCATTCGCTCGCTCTCTCTCTCTCTCAAATAAGTGGAGTCTTAAGAAAAAAAAAAAAAAAGGAATGGGTTCATTTGGAGTTTTATTCAATTTATGCAGTTCTGAGTCTCCAACACTTAGAGGAAGCACATGTGTCTCCTATGGTGTGAAATCATGTGTCCCTATACATCATTCTGTCTGTGTTCACTTGTCCTCACTGATCTCTAGGGAAAAACAGATGAGCAATTTGCAGAAGCCAGATTACTGGCCAGGCCTGTCTGACTCCAGAGCCAGACTCTTTCCATTCCATTTCCATTTCCATTCCCCCTCACCTGCACATCTCCAGCGATGCCCTCCATGACTCCATGTGCTGGACCACAAAGTGGACCATGGTGCCTGAGCTGGAAAAGGCAGACTGGTCTTGCAGTGCTGGGCAGAAGGTGATTCAGACACAGGTCTCTCCCCTCTCAATCCTGGTAGATGGGGACGAGTCAGCCTCACCTGTATGGGTGGGAAGGATTGAGATGGGTGGCATGGAGGGCTCACCAGGCAGAAAGGGATGACATCAAAAGGGGCAATATCTGAGCATGGGGAAAAGCAAACCCTGCACCACCCGCTGCTCCTCCTGCTTACAGCACCCTTCCACTTGCCCCAGTGCTATAATCCTCTCCAAATCCCACAGCTAGCTCCTCCTGCTCTGCCTCTTCCAGCAGGCCCAGGCTGACCCACCCAGCCCTCCCCACAGCTCCCAGGCTCTAGAAGTCTGACCCTCACCCACAACCTTGCCCTGGCTCACTTGCCATCCGTCCCTGGGCCCAGTCTCTGGAGGAGTGTCATGTCCCCACCTAGACCAGAGACCTGGGTCTCCTCCCACAGAGGCTGTGTGGTGTGTGCTGTGGAGAGAGACAAACATGGAAACGGGGCCTAGGTCCCCTCCCATGCCCCTTACTGCTGTGGAAAATTGCAGTCTAGCAAGGTTCTCCTCTGGGGTAGAATTTCATGTGTTTTCTGACACTCACAGCCCGCCACCCTGCCTTCTGACTCTCAGAATCACGTGTGTGAAGAAGGCTTTTAGCGCCTCATGAAATCACAGATGATTTTCTGGTCCCGGATGTTTGCTGAGCAGGCCACAAGATCAGCTCTTCTGGAATTCCAGCCCAAGACAAATGTCCATTTAGACATGTCTCTGTGCCTCCCTTTTTCCAGAAAATGGAACCTTGGGAATTCTGCTTCCCCCCTTCTTCCTGCTACAGCTGTCAGGAAGCTTAGGGGCAAACTGAGCCCCCATACTCTCTGAGACTTCTGCTTACATACATTCCCTTGGCTTCCTTCCTTTCAGAGGTCTTTGTTCTGTTTTTTCCCCACAGGATTGGCTCTACCCTCTGCTTTAACCTTTAAGGAGAAGGGGGAGGGAGCTGCCATTTATAGCCTAGGGCTTAAGAGTGCAGGCTGCAAGGACTCAGATGCTCCCTGTGGGCCCCTGGACAAGTTATTCACACTCTCTAAGCCTCAGTCTCCTCATCCGTAGCATGGGAATTATAATAGCTCCTATTTCATAGACAGCGTTTGTGGGGATTAAATGAGACCATTTACATAAAGCACTTGGAACCATACTTGGTTCTTAGTACGTGCTCAATAACGCTAACAATTACAGTTATCATCACATCTTCATGAGACTCTGCACCAGTGATTTGAAGGAAGGCATTTTCTCAAATTCTCACAATGGTCCTGGGCTGTGGATGGCATCTCCAGATTGTACTGGTGGGAATAGTGAAGCGGAGCAGTGGAGTCATTTGCCTGTGGTCCCACCTTAGGAAAAGGTCAAAGCTGGGTTCAGAACCCAGGTCTGTGTGTGTCTGTCTCTCTCCTTTATGTATGTATACCACCCTGCCTCTCTGAGTCAGTAGGCTCAAATGAGGCAAGGCCTCCAAGCTAAACAGCTTGGTGAGTGTGGCCACATGGCATGAGTGGTTTCTCTGCACCTGTCCATTCATCTCCCAGAGGAGGTGGGTAGGCCAGCTCAGTGGTTTTCCAATCTGGCTGGATACCAATTTCACCTGCAAATGGGTTAAGAACATAGATTCCTGGGCCCCTCCCCAACCTACTGAAGCAAAATCCAGAAGGGTGGGTGGGGTCCAGGAATCTGTACTTCTAACAGCTCACATAGTGATTCTGATGTAGCCAGTCTGGACTTCAAACACCTGTAGATCAAATTTTTTATATTTTGTTATGTTTTTCACCATACGGTACATCATTATTTTTGTTTGTTTGTATGTTTTAGACTGAGCCACCCAGGTACTCCATCTTTTTTTTTTTTTTATTGTGTTATGTTAGTTACCATACTATTAGTTTTTGATGTAATGTTCAAAATGAGGCTGGCAGCCAGGACAGTTCTCTGGCCTAGAGAGCCTGAGATGGTATCCTCAAGGGCAGCCTGCACTTCACACTGTTTTCCCATTGCCCTTGCATTCTCAGTGGTCATTTGAGTATTGCCAGGTTTGTCTAGGTTCGCTTCTGCAAATTCAGTATTATCACCACATGATAATGGAGCCCACCCAGCACCCCCTACTGCAAATTTTATTTTTTCATAAAAGAAAACACAACTGTAAAGTTATTGTACTTGCTAATTTCATACAGCTTGCATGGGTCAGACTAAAGTTATGGCACAAATATCTTGAAGTCTAAGCATTACCCCTTGTCGCTTGAATGCAGAGGGATCTTGGCAGTGAGGTCAGGCCAGAAGTGGTATTAAAGGGAATCCCAAGTGCAGTTTCTGATTTTGGGAAGGCCATTATGATGGTTGACACATAGTGCTGCTGACATTCCCCTGTGGGTGTTGGTACACAGGTGGCTGGCCTTCAGAGGTGGTATGTGAACCTAGCCAGTTCCCATTCTTTCTGACACTGTGACCTCCACAGTCAGCCTTGTGACCAACTGGCCAAGCTTCAAGCTAACCACTGCCAGGCACTGGCCCTGGAGCCATTATAGCAGCCCCTCATAGACCAGGGAAAAGTCACCTACAGACCTGCTGCTGGGCTAGTAGAGATTCTGAAGTTCTCTTCTTCTAGTCCCTGAGCATGAAAGGGAGGAGGGTGGAAAGAGGATGAGATCTCATAAGGGGGAAGAAAATGGATAGATGGCCCAGTTCTGCACATGCCCACCCTGGCCCTAGGAGACCCGACTGGGCTTCTAGTTCAACTAAATCCCTCACCCATAGTTTGTCATCTGCTCATTAATCTCTCTCCCTCATTCACACTCCTAAATATTGTGCCTGAGAAATTGATTCACAGGCAGCTTACACACAAAGAAACTCTGTGGGTGAAAATATGAATATAGAATAGAACAATAATTGGCTAATGTTTTGTTTTATGAAAAATGTTTCCCATTTACACACAATGCTTCTTTCCCATCAAATAGCCCCTCACACCCATCCTCTTCCCATGCTTTAGAGTAAACTTCTTTATATGCCATGAATTCCTCAGTATGTAGTAGCCAAACCTAAAGTTTATGTGCTTGATGAAACTCTTTTGGAAGCTGGGAGGAAACACTGAAGGAAGACTTTACATTTCTGCCGGTAGAATGAAACTCATTTAGGAAATAGGATTCAATTTAGAAAAATCTTACCTGAATATAACCTTACTAGAAGGTGCCAGTTCTTAAATGAGCCATATCCTGCTGGGAGGAGGAAAGTGGAAATGGGGATGTAAACTCCCATTTTTTGAACACCTACTTTCTTACAAGTTTGAATATTAATTAATTTATGTCATCTTCATATAATCTTATGGAGTAAAGAATATTATCTCCGTTTCATGGAGGTGGGAACTGAGGCCCTGGGAAAACACGTGTAAGTTCCTGATCACACAGTTAAGATGAAATTGGTCACATTTCAGACTGGATGAAGCCTTATCTGATGCCCACATGAGCAACTGCATTTCCCTGCTGATGGGCTTTCTCACAGATTTTCTTTGCCTGGTGCTTCTCTTTGACTTCCACAACACAGACTTTATTGTTGATTGTCCTGAGAGATGAGGAATGAGAGAGACAGAAATAGACAAAGGAAAAAAAGAGGTGGTTAGAAATAGAAGATACAAACAAAAAAAGAAGGAGGAAGAGAAAGGTGGAGGATGGGGAGAGGGAAAGAGCAAAATCGTACCATAAAACTAGGGTGAGAAAAGGAACAACAGAAGAGAGGGGAGTCCAGGTAGATAAAATCAAGTGAAGCAATTATCATTATCTCCATTTGTCAGGTGGGGAAATAGAGACCACACAGTTGGCATATGGTAGACCTGGTGCTGGGACTTTTTCATTTCTCAAAGTGTTGAATGAATTCCATGTTTTGGCACATGAAGTTATGGGACACAACTGAACATTTTTATTGTAACTGTTATGTGTCTACTGTAATATGTATTAAAATATAACTAGCACATTGAACCCATGAACTCACAAATATTGCTGCTTAAGATAAGACTAATTTAGGTAATCTTAAAAAGTATATCTATTTTTTAAAAAACTATATTAAGTGAATAATATGGTGGGTGGTACATGTGATAAAAATTGTGAAAGCAAAATGCAAATCCCTGCTAAGGCATCTGGCCTGAATAGGGAGGGGGTCTTGACCTCAGAGAACTCACAGACTAATGGAATACAAGTAAGACTGCTTACCACTGCACCTCCCTCAATTTTTTCCATTGCTCTAAGAAGCTAATAGAGTATAAATTTCAAAGAAGAGAGGGATCACTTTTTTCCCAAGCTTTTAGGAAAGGGTTCTAGAGGAGGTGGCCTTAGTGCTAGGCCTGAAAAACAGAGAGACTTTGGATACATGTTTTTTACTGGCCATGCCTTTTTAGTTTCCTTTGTTGGCTTTTTTTCTTCCTGGCATCTAACTCTTTGGGACGCTCCTAGACTCTGTTTTTAACTTCCTCTTCCCCTCCTCTGTTCTTTCTACCGTCCCTCTCTAGGTGATGTCATCTATTCCCATGGCTCTAAATATCATTTATATGTAGATGACTCCCAAATCTGTCTCTCTCTTGTTTACCTGTCCCATGAAATCCAGAGGTACATATCTAATTGCTTACTTGACATTTCCACTAGAATGTCGAATAGATACCTAAAGCCTAACATAACCCAAACTTAGTTCTTGGTATCACCCTCACCTCCACAGTCTGTTCCTCCCCAGTCCTCCTTATCTCAGGAAATAGTTGTTTGGCTGAAAATTTTTAGAGTCATGCCTGACCCCCCTCTTCCTCTCACATTCCACATCTAATCCATCAGGGAATTTTGGCTCTATCTTTAGATACATCCACAATCTAATTCTTACCACTCCTACAATTACTACCCAAGTTCAAACTACCAACATCTCTTGCTTGGACAAATGACTTATTAACTGGCTTCCCTCTGTAAAGCTCTGCCTCTTTAGTATCTGTTCTCTTCACAACAGTGAGAGAAGTCATTTAATCCTAAGTGAGGCCATGTCCCTTTTTTACTCAAAACTCTCTGTGACTATCTATACTTAGAGTAAAAGCCAAAGTTCTCACCAAGGGCCCCATGACCCTTCACAGTCTGGCTCACTGTCACCTCTTTAACCCCATAATCTCCTATTCTTTCCCTCACTTATTCTGCTCCATCCACACTTCCCTCATTGCTATTCCTTGAATTTGTTCAGCATACTCCTGTCTCAGAGTATCTGCAATGACTTTTCCCTTAGTTTGGAACACTCTTCCTCTTGATCTTTGCAAGTTTTACACTATCTTCTTTCAGGTCTTTGTTCAAATGTCATTTCATCAGAGGGACGTCCTTGATTACTCTAAAATAGCACCTTCCTATTCACTCTGTATCTCCCTTGTTCTACTTTCTATTTCTTTGTAACACTTCTTATCCATAAACTGACATATACATCTATGTTTAATTTTTCCTTGTCTGTCTTCTCCAGTGGACTATGAGCTCCTTTAGTGCAGGGATTTTGTCTGTCTCATTTTCTGCTATATACACAGTGCATGGAATATGGCCTGGCACACAACAGGTACTCAACAATTATATGTATAATGGCCATTCTGGATAGACAGCATAAAAACACAGAATGTACTTCAAGGAACAGCAAGTATTTAGTTAGAGCAGAGGTGCAGGTAAAGAAGACATGGAGGAAAATTTGGAGTATTTGGGTAGGCCTAGAGAATAAAGAGATTTGAATACTAGAATCAAGGAGCTCACATGGCAGTGAAGACTTTTGCTTTGGAGAATAGGGAGTTAGGGATAAATCTTGAAAAGGGAAGGGATGGGTCAGAGCTGTCCTTTAAGGTGTGATAGATAGTTCAGTGTCCTATAGAATATTCATGAAACTCTGTAAAAGGAAGAAGCAACAATCTCCATTTACATATGGAGAAACTGAGGCACAGATATGGGGTGAAGCATGGGTGAAGTTATTTGAGCAAAGCAGTGTCTGACAGGAACACTTGAGGAAGATATGCAGCTTGCAGAAGAGACCACTCAGGAGGGAAGTGTTTCTAGGCAGTTGAAACAGACTATTGCTGCACTTGTGTTGGAGGTGGGCTGGACTGGCAATGCCCCCAAGGTCTTCTGGGAGGTATGGGGGTGTAGGGTGGAGCTGGTCAGGCAGCAGCACACTGGGGCCTCTGTGTATGTGCTGCCTCCAACAAGCATACTTTCCATAGAGTCTGCCCAAGAACATTTCCTCCAGCCTACTTTGCCTAATTAAAAAAAAAAAAAAAAACTTTTGGTGGTTTTTTTTTTTTTTTTCTTATTGAAGTAAAAATCCAAATTCTCCCCCACTACTTGGCCCTTGCATCATTTGACCAGCAACCTCTCTGGTTAGCCTTCATACTACAAATTCATACCAGCTGTTTTGCCTTTGTTCCTCTCTCCTTTCTCTGGTTCCTCACATGCAATGATTCTGGTCCCTTCAAATCTTACCTATATGGAAAATCATGGTTCTAGGAAGCCCACTTTAATTGCCTCAGCACCTCTCCTGTGAACTCCCTTGCCAGGGGCACACATCTTACATCCTCCAAACTTTCCTTAACCTAGGGAGTGCCATCTGCTCATCAAAACCAGAAGGTTCCAGATGACAAAGCCCAGGGCTATTGCTGAGGCTTGCAGGTCATTTGCAGTACAGGGACCCCCTCTGGTGAAGGAGGTCAGAGCAAAGACTGAAACTGCCAGTGCTGGCCTTACTCAACTACTAAATCTGAGTCCTCTCCCTGAGAGGGGGGGGACTTTTCTAGTTCACCCTAAGGTGTTATATGGGCTAATGAGTCCCTAGTAAGCTCCCCTTGACCTGCTCCTTCTCCCATTTTTATCATCTCAAAGAAGGCACTGTCTTCTACCAGGTCAGACAAGCTGAAATCAGGTTGGCACCTCTGTATTACTTACTTTTCACATACATCAGATTGTTTCTCCCTGTTTATGGTCTCTAATTCCACCAACACTGTACTGCTCCAGCCCTCAGCATCCTTCAGTTTTCTTACTAAGCTCTCTGTTTCCCAGTTGGCCCCTCCAGCCCACCCCATTTCATTATTGTCACATCTTGCTTAAAACCTTGCCATGTCTCCTCATTATGGGCCACAGTTATTTCTTTGTTTTTTAAAGATTTATTTATCTGAGAGAGAGAGAGAGTATGAGTTGGAAGGGCAGAGGGAGAGGGAGAGAGAGCATCCAAGCATACTCCCCACTAATGGGGGAGGGGAAGCTTGATCTCAGGAGCATAAGATCATGAGCTGAAATCAAGAGTAGGATGCTTAACCAACTGTGCCACTTAGGTGCCCTGGACTGCAGTTATTTCTAAAGTGATGGGCACATGCATATTGAAATTCCCCAGCCCTGCCTTCTCCTTACTCACCTGGTGAATATCTCATATTTCAAGCCTCAATTTATGTTTCATCTCTGTAAGGTTTTCTCTGACTGCCTGAGGATGGGTGAACTAACCACTGTCTCCTGGTAGGCCTCACCATTCCCATAATCCTGCATTCACACTTCTCTTTTCTCCCAGCATATTATTAAAACTATCTGCTTCCTTTTTCCTGTCCCCCATTAGACTGTGAACTCTTTGGGATCTGGGACTGTGTATGATTTATCTTCCTCTTTCCATAGTATCCAGCACAGTGCAAGTCACACAGTCGGTATCAGAAAATGTTTGCTAAAAGAATAATCAAGCTAATATTATCAGGGACTTATGTGCCTGGCACTGATTTTAGCAGACATTTTCACAAATGTAAACTCATTTAATTCTTGTAGGTGGGTCCTAATTTTATCTCCATTCTACAGATGTGTAAAATGAGACCCTGAGAAGTGAAGTAACTTGTCCTGAGTCCCAAAATTGGCAAAGCCAGGATTCAAACTCAAGAAATCTGAATTCATAATGCATGCTCTTTATCACTATGCTCTACTGAAAAAAATGGACAAAAGAATGAACAAATGTCCACACGAATGAATAAAACAATAAGTTTGGAAGCAGGCATACATAAGTGAAATTGGAGATAAAGGGAAGGTGAGGCAGATGCAGGTCAAAGGTGGTTTTATGGGCCTCAGCATGTAGATTGAACAGGACAGAGGTGACCAAGGTGTGAGTACAGTGGGAAACCACAGTAGAGTGTACACAATAACTTGTCATCAACAGCTGAGAGAGAAGACAGGGAGATGGGTTAAGTAGACTCTACCATGGGCCTACATGTGCTTAGGAACATGTACTTGGGAACCCAGAACTCCTGAACAGACCACAGGGAACAGGTGGAGAAGCTGAAGACCAGAGAGGGAAAACTGCCTTTGTCATCCATTTCATAAATCTGCTTAATATTCTGGGAATTTTATCAAGTCTCAGAGCCAGATTTTCAGGAGGTCACAAATTAAGGGACTTCTGTACAAGTGTTTCAGCAACTTCAATGTGCGCATGAATCTCCTGGAGATCTTGTTAAAATGCAGATTTTGATTCAGCAAGTCTGGGCTGGGGCCTGTGATTGTGTCTTTTCTGAAAAGCTCCCAGGTGATGCTGATGCTGCTAGTACATGGATTTGACTTTGAGTAGCAAAGCTTTAGAGTATAATAGAGTGGCTGTCATTCATTGAGCCCTACTCTATGCAAGGCACTGTGATAAACATATATATTTTCTTCCTCTTCAAGATCTCAGGTATAAAAAATTACATCTGATAAATGCCATCATGCACTGAAAGCATGATAAGCATCTGGCACCCATGATCTTATTTAAGTCTCGAATTGACTCTGTGAGCTAGATACTACTCTAGTCCACATTAACTGGGCCCAGAGATTGAGGTCACTTACAATTAAGATATTGATCTTCTTCCTCACCTTTTCTGAAGCCATGATCCTTCCATTTACCCACATATACACCTAGTTCATTCTCAGTGTTGGGCAGTGGGAAATGAACGTATTTGGGATCAGATAGACCTAGGTTCAAATTTTAGTTCCACCACTTCCTAACTAGGTCTTAACCTCTGAGCCTCTGTTTCTTCCTCTATTTGATGGGGATAATAATAGAGCTTAGGTCACGGTGACACTGTGAGGACTAAGTGAAAGAGTAACTCTAAAATCTCTGGTGCAGCACCTGACATGTGCTTAGCAATAATAACTCTTTTCTCTGCCCCTAGCTTCTGAGTTGTAGGACTGAGAAAACAGATCCAGTAACTTTTCCCTATTCCCCTTCAAAGAGCTAATTTTCTCAAAAATCCCAGACTTTGTTTCCTCATCCCAGAACTAACCTTTGTGCTTGATGAGGTGGGCCTGGAGGTCCCCGGTATGTCATTTCAAGGAGGATGGTCAGCAAAAAGCTGACACAGATGAGCATCTCCACCCAGATACCTCACCTCTGGCTTGGTCAATCCCCAAATTCTTGCTTTCTTACACTTCCAGGTATCCCTTCTCTTGAAAGAGAGGAACTATCCTGAAGGGTGGGGAAGACTCTGAATGTGGCATTGAGGCCCATATAATCCAGGATTGTCCAAGAGCTGGGGTTGTCATCTTGCCTGGAGAGGGGCCAGTTCCATGCCTCCGTTTTCCCCCTCATCCAGCTGTAGATGAATAAAAGCTAAACATACTAGAGTTGTGGGTCTGTCTGTTTGCTATGTTGGCTCAAGGTGGAGTTTTTCTTTCCTATAAACATCTAGAGGAGACCAGAAACTCAGGCCAGAGAAAGGTCACTTAGGATGGATCATCTTAAAAATGTTGCAGTTATGAGAGAGGGGTTGGTAGTGCAAGGCCCCAATCCTGGTCCCTTCTGGCACTAACTTTAACTTTGAGACAAGAAAGGCTTACTTAGGGCCCCATAACTAATTAGAATTTCCACAGACATGAGACTTACAATATCCAGAATAGTCAGAGGCCAAGACAGGCTAGGGAGAGAGTGAAAATATAACACAGTAGTTTAAAATAGAACTAGTGGATTCAGATCATCTGGGTTTAAAGCTCAGTTCTGTCACTAACTGAAGATGTAACATTGAGATAATAATATTAATAATTACTATTTAATAGTATTAAGTTAATTGACCACTCTATAGCCTCCATTTCTTCCTATAAAATGAAGATAATAATAACACCTACTTCATAAGGTTGTGGTAAAGTTGTAATAAAGATTAAGTGACACTGTAGTTTTGGAATGCTTGGAACAAGATTAGTGTTCAGTAAATATTAACTGCTAGAACTAGAGTGGGATGAGACCAGACTGAGATGAAAAGTATGGGAAGCTCCCTGTCCCTCTGGAGACCTAGGTGGAGGAAGTCTGGGGAGCTGAATTGGTAGGCATCAGTCAGTTTGGGGGAACCTGGAGATGCTCTGGACTGTGTCTGCAGGTATAGCAGAGGATGACAGTGAGAAGTAGAGGTGATAAAAAGATTACCTGAAGGTCTGCACATGGGATGTCAATATCAGCCAGAACCCCTGTCTCCCTGCCCTTTCCACCCATGTAGAGAACATGCGGCTCCAGTCCTTAGCTTCAGGCAAAATCTCTAACATCATTTTACAAACTCTGTAGGGAACACTCTGACTTGTCCTATGGCATTAGGTGCCACAGAACAAAGCCTCCTCATTTTGATATTTGGACCACTCATAGCCTGTCAGTTGATACCTCCCCCAAGTTCACACAAAGTTTCCTGTCAGAATTTCCTCATGAAGGAGAACCCTATTTAGAAAACAGCCCTGCTTGTACAACAGAGAAACCAGCTACCAGTCCTATCCCGTAACTAAGAATAGATAACCAAGGATCCTCAAGCAAATTAAAAGAAACTGCAGCATGAAAGAAAAAGACTAAAGTAAACAAATAAAACTACTGATCCCAGAGCAAGTTGGGAATTTTGGAAACAAGAAAGAACTGCAAGGAAAAAATGATAATATTCTCAGTAAAATTCAAGAAGATACAGCATGAATAAAACAAGAGCTAGATACCACAAAACAGGAACAATCAGAGAAAAGAAAGACCCCTTAGAAATGGAAAATCAGTTGTTGAAATAAAAAAAAAAAGTCAACAGGACTGTGAAATAAAATTGAGGGAAGTTCCCAGAATGTAGGGGACAAAAAACAAAAACAAAAACAAAAAAAAAACAAAGAAACACAAGGTATGAGAGAAATTTTAAGAGAGATCAGCAGTTTCAACATCTGAATAATAGGAGTTCTAGATAGAGAGAACAGAAAAAAATGAAAGAATAATAGTTAAAAACATATTAGGAGTTAATTTTCCAAAACTGAAGGACTTCCAGAACAGATGCCCAGAACAGTGAACCCAGGAAGTGGTTACTCCCACCCAAGGGATTACTGTAGCCTCCTCACCCGTCTTCTTGCTTCCCCCATTTGTCATCTTCCCTTTCACCCCTCCCCTCCACCACCAGTATGTATTCTGAATAGTCTGAGGGATCCTCATAAAACCAAAGTCAGGTCCTCTCCTACCTCTGCTCAAAAGTCTCCTATGGATCCCACTGTGGCTTACAGGACCTGATAAGATTAAGCCCTGTTATCTATCTGACCTCATATTATTTTCCTCTCTGCCTTCCTCCACCACTCTAGCAACTTTGACCTTTATGCTCTCTAAAAATGTCAGGCAGGAGGAAAAAATGGTAGACACTGTCCTGTTCCAGGGCCTTTACGCTGACTGTTCTTTCATTTGAAATGTTCTTTCCGCAGGTGTCCACTTGGTTAGCTCTCTCATGTTATGCAAGTCTTTGCTCATATTTGACCTTTTCAGTGAGTCTTTCTCTGACCAACCTATTTAAAACTACAATAATCTCCCACCCTCCCTGGCATTCCGCATTTCTTTTTACCATGATTTATTTTCCCCCCATAACACCTACCACATTTTAACTTGTTGTATATTTTACTTCTTTATCTGATTATTTTTCTCTCTTGCTCTCACTAGAATATCTTCACCACTGTGTAACCTCAGCATCTAAAACAGTGTATGGCACATAGTAGACATTCAAAAAATATTTGTTGAATGAATGAATATGATAAAGGCAAATGACTCAAGGGAAAAGGAAAGGCTATTAGAAAGTGTGTGTGTGTGTGTGTGTGTGTGTGTGTGTGTAGTGTATAGCTGAGAAAATCATGGTCCATATATAAAGCAAAATAAAGTATAACATGATTATAAGCCACTGACAGAATATAAGGGAGACTCTCTTCTACCTTGATAGTAGAAACATTCTTCTTTGAGAGGCCCAAAGACTGTGTCTTTGGACTTGTACAGAAGGAAGTGTATTCTTGGCTCAGTACCCAGCTGGGTTTTGAAAAATATTTACATAGTCATGATAACGCAAATGTTATTTATTGGTTTTCAGGTTTTAGAGCCAACTTGGGGACAAAACATAAAAGACCTGGTCGTGGCTGCAGAACAGAATGTAAATGTTAATAACCTGAACAATGTAGAGGAAAGATGAAACTGACAAGTGAGTCATTGAATGGGCAAGGGGAGGGTAGTGACCCTAATATCCTTGTACTAAAATGTAGGCAGTTGAAATTATCTGTCAAAAATGGATGGAATAAGGAATGGAGGCTATATTTTTTCAAGTTATAAAATTAAGCAAGAACAAAAAAAAAGGAATATCAATGTTTAAAAATGCAGGGGAGTGGACGGAAAAGTGAGGCAGCGTATGTACATACACAAAATCCTCATTGTCATAATGGGGAGACAACAGGATATTGTCTAAATTTTATAAACCAAGAAACAGCTATATACATATTATCTACAGTTATAAAGGGAACTACCAACAGAACAACAACAACAGCAATGGTTTTTTTTTTCCTTGTTGTTATTGTTTAAGTTTGCTTAGAGGGAGTGAGATGGAGATGGGGAGGGTTGAGGCAAGAGACTATTGGTTTTGATCATATGCTCTTCTGTAGTATTTGATTTGTTGCCTTGTTCATGCATTACTTTATTTTCTTTTTTAGATTTTATTTATTTATTTAACAGAAAGAGACAGCGAGAGAGGGAACACAAGCAGCAGGAGTGGGAGAGGGAGAAGCAGGCTTCCCCCGGAGCAGGGAACCTGATGCTGTGCTCAATCCCAAGATGCTGGGATCATGACCTGTGTCAAAGGCAGACGCTTAATGACTGAGCCACCCAGGCACCCCTCTGCATTACTTTAATAAAAATAAAATTCTAAAAACTTTATGTTGATCTCATAACAACAAAATAATTATATATCCTATGATACTTTATGATTGTTTCAAAGTGGGTATATGAAGATCTAGTAAGATTCACCTCCACGGAAGACAAGCATACTGTAACGCACCACACATATGTTTATGATGAGAGTTGGAAAGGATATTCTCAGACCTAAAACACTGGAGGTAGTACAGCACATTGGTGAAGGCTCTGGTATTTGGCATTGTACCGACTTGGATTCAAGTCCTCTCTCTGCCGTTCACTAGTTGTTAGTTGCTTTGCCATGGGCAAGTTACTTCCCTTACCACCAAATTTTTCCTCTGTAAAATGAGGCTAATGCTCATACAGTAGAACTGAAAGTCCCTCAAGAGCAAGGACTACCTCTATAGAGAGGCTTAATATACAGTTGGTGCTCAGTGGCTATTGAATGGCCTGAACCTGCTTCACAGACTTATGCTGAGAAAGGATTCAATGTGCAAAGAGCAGGGGAAAAAGAGTCCAAAAGTGGGTAGCCAGTTTCCTCATCTATGGGAAATCTGTCCTTGGTTTAATAAAATGAGGTCATTGTGATTGTGGGTAGATGGCTTTCTGGGCGTAGAGTATTACAAAATAAATTGTCCGGGGTGCCTGGGTGGCTCAGTGGGTTAAAGCCTCTGCCTTTGGCTCAGGTCATGATCCCAGGGTCTTGGGATCGAGCCCCGCATTGGGCTCTCTGCTCAGCAGGGAGCCTGCTTCCCCTTCTCTCTCTCTGCCCGCCTCTCTGCCTGCTTGTGATCTCTGTCTGTCAAATAAATAAATAAAAACCTTTAAAATTAAAAAATAATAATAATAAATTGTCCTGCACTTAAAAGGAAGAAAAAGAGAGATTCCACCAGCAGCTCATGATAGGGGACATAGGAATCTGAAAATTGGAAGTAGAAGAGTTGCCCCCTCCAGAGGCTGAAGGACAGAAAGGGCCCAGCAGCAATGAGGAGTGGGGACCAGGAGAAGGGATCGTTAGTAGGCCTTTCCTAGTGATGGAAATGACTGAAAAAAAAGTGTGAAGAACAGGAAAGTCTGATGTCCAGTTTTAAGCTGATTGCTAGGCTATGTGGATTTAGATGACTAAAGACATGCTAGGTATCCTTGGAAAGAAACCTTTGCCACCCACTTCCAGACTTATCTCTAAATTTTCCAAAATTTTGCAAAATTCAGAGGTACTTATTTTGCATAGTTTGGGGAAAGGAAAATATGTTAGGAGAGGGTTGGTGGTTAAGGATATTCTGGGTTTCCAATTTAATCCTCAGCGATGTGAAATCTTAGATGTTCCTGGATTAGGCAGTTTCATCCTCTGACGTTCTGCACTAAGCCATCTTTAGCCTGCCTTTCCTTATCTCCTGAACAGAGCTGCTGGTAATAACTCACCTTTCCATCTTTGTCCCTAGGTGATATGTAGGACCCATATGATCTCAGGTATTTGCCTGCTGATGTATGGGTGCTGGAAATTTGTCTGGGACTCAGTGACCTTGGATCTCAGTTTTATGGGTAGGTGCCAAAGATCAAAATATCTCAAGTGTTCACAAGGAGAAGATTAAAAGAAATCCCTCTGATCAAAGGGTGAAGATTGTGAATGAATTTGTCTTTTCTCTTCTGATAAGGTTTCTTCCTGTCCTCTGATTCTCCAGGTCATAAGATAAGGGTGGCTATGGTATTAGGTTAGGAAGATGGTGGTATTGAGAGTGGACTGGGGAAGTTTGGCTTCAAAAAGCTTTGGGAATGCCTCACCAATGGACCTGAACTGAGATTTTGCTTGAGTTCCTTGCTTGAATCCAGTATCTCCTAAGCTTTCAACTGTGTATTCCTTTAAAGTTACTCCAGGATCCCAAAGACCACAACTAGGACTTAAAATGCTCTGGAATTTAAAATGGTGGAAGTTGTAACAGAGGATATGTAACAGAGGGTGTTCTGTGGGGAAGAAATTGTACAAAGGCTCCTAAGCAAGAGAAAGCAGGGCTTATCTGGTAACAGTAAGTGTTTTATTTGGTTGGAATATAGGTAGTGTTCAGAAAAACAACAAGAAAAAGGCTGAAAAACTAGTTAGGGCTAGATTTTGGGAGAACCTTCAAATCAGGCTCAGGTATTTCTTGAAAGAGTAGTTTATACTCATTGTCTTGTGTACCTCATCTCAGCTCACTGTAATCATGAAGCTACTGCATGGCATGGACTTCCAAGTAAAAATGGCTTAAATAAGACATACATATATTTATTTCACCCAAAAGAAATCTAGAGGGTAGGCAGTCCAAAGCCAGTATGGTGGCACTGTGAAATTGTTAAGAGACTCAGGTTCTTTTTAGTTTACTGCTCCACTATCCTTAGGATTTAACCCTAGTCTTCATGGCCTTTATTCAAGGAGGCCATGTCCAGCTAAAACTCAAGATGTTTTATTACTAAGGAAGAAGATAAGAATGCCATAAATGTCTGTACTGAAATTATCCCCTCCAAGGTCACCAGAGACCGACTACCACCTGATTGTTATAATCCCTAGACATATTTTCAGGACTTTTCTTGACCTCTTGATAGCATTCAACAATATTGACCCCTTCCTCCTTTTGAAATAATCTTTTCCCTTGGTTTTGTGACACTACTTTCTCCTGCTTTTCTCCCTATCTCTTTGGTCACTACCAACCTTCTCTCTCCTGGGCTCCGTTTCCCCCACCTATGCCATAGTCACTGCTGGTCTCCAGGGCTCTTCCCTATGCCCCATCTCTTCTAGGGCTGCACAGTCTTCTCAGGTGCTAAAAGTGCTAGCTTACAGAACCATTTATATACTGATGACTTCTAAATCTGTAACTTCAGTCCAGACCTCTTTCCTAAGCTTCAGACATGTATATTCAACTGCCTATGGAATATTTCTTCTTGGATGCCCCACAGGTATCTCAATATCGATGCCTAGTTCCCCTCTGTTAGTATTCCATATCTCAGTGAAATGGGTTACCACTGACACATTATGTCTCTCAAATCAGATCCCTAAGAGTTCCCTTTGATACTTCTCTCCTTCTCACCCCTTTCCCCACACCCAATTATTCATAGTCTTTTTGCTTTTTTACTTCTTTAATGTATTCTGAATTCAATTATTTCTCACTACCTCCATTCCTACCACTCTAGGCCAAACCACAATCATTGCTTACCTAGATGACTACTCACCCTCTTTCCAGGTAGAC